CCCGCCTGGGCCGCGCTCCCCTCGCGCTACCTCAGGCGGCGTCGTCCCCGCAGCGGGACAGCGGCGCTCAGGGCCGGGCCCCACCGGCCGCCGCCGCGGAAGGGGCGCGGGCACGGGGTCGTTCCTACCGCGGCTGCGTTGCTGCTCCTGCGGAAACGCCTTTGAAGCTTTAAGGGGACAAACTCCGAGGAACTACCGTGCGATGCAGTTGTCGGGTTCATGTTTTTCCTGTAACGGAGGCAACCTCAAGGCCCGATGTGTTATTTTTCCTTCCATCACTCAAGTTTTCTTGTTGCCTTTACATTTAAAACCGCACTATCTGTGTGTCAACAAAAGACTATTACATCACTTTGCTCTCATCAAGAGCTGTCACAAAGCTGTGGATACCGAAAAATACATTAAATCAGGCCCCTGAGAACTGCCATCTACAACAGTGAATTTCAGTTTAAGGCTTTTGTTCATAGTTTTAAGCAGGAATATTCTTGGTTTCCCTGTACAGCTGGAAAGAGAAGTTCTGTGGGTCTCTTAACAGCCTGTTCATTCCAAGAGCAGTTCACTATTGTTTCATAGTTTATATTAAAATAATTCTACAAGATGACAATTGCTTTTTAAATGCAGTGCATGGAACAAAAAGAAAAGTGGTATAAACAGTTTTCATTGTAACTACATAAAATGAGGCAGATTATAATTATAGTACTAATCTTTTAGTACATTAGCCTTAGTAATTTGTGTCAAAGTGACAGTTTATTGGTTTAGATCTGCTGTAGTAAATGCTATATACAATTTGGAGATGTAAAAATAACTCCAAGTACAGCCAGATACTGCAAAACTGCAATGTGAAATTCTGCATTAGACTCATTGAAAAGACTTGCACCCAATACAAATTTTATATCGCTTTAGTTTTTGACTTCCTAACTTAATTCAGACTGAAATTTACTCTCCAGCATTTTAGAGGTCCTACGCAATGACTTACCATACAGAAGTGATTTTTAATACTTAAGTTTATTAAAATATCTTGTTTCATGTTAATTAAAACAGAGCCTGCAGTATTTCAGATTATGCTGCCCAGAAAGGAGTCTTTTCAACATTCCATAATCCATACATTTTGAACATATGAAGCATCACAAAATAAACATATGCACATTTACGTTCAAACAAATTCAATATGAATACAGTTATCGACAGTGCTTCAAAGTATACATGATTGATCTACCATCATGGAGGAGATCAAAAATTTGAGATCAAAAGTCACACAGCACTGAAGAAAGCAAGCTACCTCTTCAATACTGAAGTTGTTTTAATCTAAAAGGGAGAAAGAAAAAGTAAAAGGTCAGACTAAATAGTAACATGCAACTTTAAGAACATTTAATTACTTGAGCAGTTTCTTAAACCTTAGTTTAAGAGACAGAGCTATGTGAGATAAAAACATTTCTCAGTGATGTAAAGAGAGACATGCAAATGCGAAGACTTCAAAATAACTGCTTGTACAAACAAGTCTAACTATTCTGTGCAAAATGCATAAAAGCATATTTTAGCTATTTAGAAATCAAAGGAGAAGTAATTTCGTTTTTTAATAAGAAAACACCAATACATAACCGAAGCTCAGTTCCAAAGGAATGGAAGGCAGTCCTTTGGAATGCCAGCCTTTCCATGGATACATGTCCATTCCACTAAACACCTAGACCCCAGCATTCTGCCATTAGGCCAGCTGGATGTGGTATTTCAACAAATACCTTGAGACCGCTCCTTCAGCTAATAAGAGATGCTACACAGAAGCCAACGCAGTAACTGTCCCACACAGGATGCACTTAAAGTTGACTATGATCTGAACTAGAGACAGTTACTTTTGTTTGTACTTTACTTCAAGTGTGTGAGCAAAATGAAATTGCAAATCATTCTTTTTTGGTTTTCACATTTCTGTTGGCACTATGTTCAAGTCTCTAGTTTATAAGAATGTAATGGCACAGTCTAAATTTAGCAGACATGTACATGACTCAAGCATGGTTCTGCTTGCTTCACTGCTCCTTGTTCAAGCACAGAATTCTCTTAAGCGTCAATGCCACACAATGGATCTATTTGAATCAGATCTTTCGCTAATTATCAACAAACTGAAGCAGACTCAAAACATTCTGAAGCAGACAATGTTGATTCCAATGTCTCCAAGTAAAGAGAAGTAGACAAAGTAATGGAAATATGAATCACCAGCTGCACTTGTTCCATTTTTAATTCCCATTCAAAATACCTTCCAAAAATATCAGTCATCTTTAACTATAACCTCCATTAACTAGCAGGGTTGTGTATTTAGTGCCCTTTACCTCAAGAGGCTTCTATCCTAAAATTAATTATCCTCTAGCTTAAGATACCTAATATTTGTAATCTTTCCTCACTTTATTAAAAAAAACCCAAGCAGTATTTTATATTCATAAAGAGACTGGCTGCATATTTGCTGCAAATAGTTCACTGGAATGACAACTCATAAATTGAGGTTTTAGTTATCCACTGCAAAATTTACAAGTGTTTAAGTAAACTTTCTGTTTACCTTCTTAGAAGCTCTTTGGGTGACAAGCCTGTGGTATCTATATCACTAAGGCTGTCACTGCTATCTGCAGTGTCTGAGCTGCTGTCTTTTTCCGATTTTTTATTCTTGTTTTTTCCTTTGTTTTTCTGTTTCTTGTGTTTCTTTTTCTGTAAACAGAAAATAAATAATCCCTTATTTCATTGTGAGAGACTTGGGTTTTTCTGAAAGGCAACAACAGCAAAAAGTTGATTTCAGTGTAGACTCCAAGCTTAACTGAAACAGAACACTTAACAATGACTCTTTTCCACTACTCAGACTAAGCTAAAAAATATGTACCAAAACCACGCATTTCATCCCAAGCACTCAACCCCCCTAAACCAGAAATTTCATTATTATTATAATTCGTATACAAGCCATGAATTATATGCAGTTCTCAGAATATGCCTGGTATCTTCAGCATACAACATTAAACTACCTAACATTCTACCTATAGTCACACTGTATATATGGAAAAAGCAGCATCCTAGTTGGATAGTTTTCTGTTCTGAAGTTCAGGTTTCAAGACACCTGAGAAACTCAGTTGCTTAAGTTCTTGTCCCAGTATATCTATTTTATACAACTTTCCATAAATAATAAAAAATTTTGACTGGCAGATCATTGAATCAATAAACTGTTTATTTAAATTAAATACCTTTTCCTTTTTGTGTTTGTGTTCTCTCTTAGTCTTGTGTTTTTCTCTGTGCTTTCTATGTTTTTCTTTCCTACTAGGCCCAGGAAAACTTGCTGACACCACTGGTTCTTGTTGCCAAGTAGGGCCTAAAGTGCAAAGCAAATGTGGAAACAAAAAAGCATGACAAAAATTCTGTATTACTTTTAATCTCATAGGATAGTTAAAAAAAAAATCTAAGCTTTCAAATGGAAAAAAAACGTTTACAACTCCTAGCTGCAACCTTCCTACTGTAATTAAATGCCTTTGCAATCTGTTATTAAAAGGAATTGCAAGGCTGGTCCCATATTTTCACTACAATTTTTTACCATTGCCTCTATAGAGCTACAACAAAGTTGGTACACAGGCAAAGAGGTTCCTGCTAGTGGATCACAGCATGGTAACAAAGCATTTGTCAATGCCAGTTTGACATAACACAGGCATTTAAGAGGTAAAGTACCTATTCACAAATGTTTTTTAAAGAGAAATAACTTATATCTTACATATGACTTCAATGTGCAGAATTTACAGGCTAGAAGTCTACAGAACCTACCAGAAGAAAAAGCTGGAGGCAACTTTGGTCCAAATTCCTCTGCTGCATCCAGTTCCTGCTTTGAAGTAGGCGACAAAGAAATGCCAGGATCAGTTGAAGCAGCCACAATCTCTATGAAAAAAACAAAAACAACTTTATTTGAAAGGAAAATAAGGTAACACTTTTTCCAAAAAGTACTGAAGAAAGTTAAAGGAGACTTTCTAAAAACCTCTAAGAAAGCAAATTGATCAGCATCCTATACCTCCGTGGACTGCTTTGGCCAACTAGATAGCTGACATTCTGAAACATGTCAACATACTGCCCTTTTTTTTTTTTAATCCAAATTTACCTTTTACACTCTACAATTACTAATTAAATTAATATCAGTGCATGTGTTTGCTTTCATTTAGTAACACAGTACTACTTGTCCATTACTTAGAATGAATAAAAAACTCCAGAAGATGTATAAAGTAATAAACACTAAAAATTAGATGTTAACAGAACCAACTGTGACAGTAAGTGGACAAAGTATTTCCATTGTAAGCTAAATATATTGTACATTTTGTTAATTTAATGACATCCTGAAAATACGGGAACTTTTTACAGCTCACTTAGTAAAATTTAATAAGTAGTACAGTAAAAGATTGGTCTTCTCCTTCTCTTGTGGAAGTATTCTGGCAACTTTTATAACTAGAATACAAATAAAATGCAACTTTTTGATGTCTTAGTAAAGTTATTTCAACATTATATTTTACTGGAACATCAGTATTTAGAGAGTGAATTTAATTATCAAAAGAAATGCAAGTCATTTATTTCTGAATTTGTCAAATATCCACCACAAGACAGTCATAATTTATCAATCTATCTTACAATTTATCATAGGTATAAAAGTTTCCCTGTATTTCTCAGTGAAGTATGCCCTAACATTAGATGTTTTGTTCCCCCTCGCTGTTTAACAAGCATATTCCATAGGACAGTTTGCTTGTAAAATCTACATAAGACACATGGTGACGTAAATAACATTGTAATATGCAAGGCCTTATTCAGTGCTGTATTATTCACAGCTCCACCAATGCCAGATGATCTGCACAAGAGCATAGTACTGTCCTAGCAGTCCTGGAGTATTTGATTCATAAATGAAGCTTTTACAAGGTATTTATAAAAATGAACATCCATTAAGCACTACCTTGTACATTAAATGAAGAACTGTCTGGTAGGTCAACTTGCTTGGTGGTTTCTGAATCTATTACCGAACTAGTTGGTTGCTGTTCTTCATCACTCTCTTCTTCAGAGGAAGACGATTTTTCATCTGAGGAACTCACAAAGATGGCCTTAAATAAGTCCATAGATGGTCTGCTTTCTTCTTCCTGATCCTTATCTTCATTAGCTACCTGCAAAACAGCATCATAACAAACTGCATTTAAAAACTAAAGAAACTAACAATCTCCCTCTGATAAGTAATAACTTCAAAGATGCCAACATGCATTTAACAAAACACTCGAATATCACAATAGCTGTGAAATATACAATCTTAGGAACCGCTAGTCCAAAATAGTAAAACTCTGAAATGCTGCTAAACTAAGTCAATGTCCTGTAAAGGGCAGCGCAATTTGTGCTACTAAGACAGTTGAAAATAGATCCCCAGATATTATAAATTCTAATTCATTAATTGAAACTTCAATTATACACTACTAAATTTAAGCAAAAGGAAAACATCACCTGTCTCCCCAAAGTACGCACCCTCCTCCATTCCAAGCAGAAAAAAATATATTCTATGCCTGTGAGCAAAGTGGGTGTAAGGGACTGAATTGAACTACCAGACTGCTGAGCTGCATTTTAACTTCTCTTAAGATGCTATTTTGAGTATAGTCATACTTGCTATCCTTGTATGCTGTAAGTGTTTTACATCTCAGAGTTACAACCTCAAAATTCTTCAAAGTACAATTCTCATGTCTTTGCTTATCCTGAGTTGGCTCTTCTGCAAACTGATCTGTATTAGATCAATTCATATATTACCCAACCTTATTTCAGGGTTGTGAACATTTACAGCTATTCCCCTTTAATTTCAAACACCGTTGTAAACTCACCTCAGTGGGAAGAGTTTCACTTGGCCCAGTTCCACATTCTTCTGTTGCTGATACTGGTGGCTGCTGCTGAACATCAGCTTTTGATCTAGCAAGACTAATGAATTCACTGATAGAATCTTTTTTCTCCTTCTCTTTATCTGACACATCCCATCTTGAAGGTTTCTTTGCTTCTAAAAACATCCCAAACATTCAAATCAATTGCATGCCAAATTATCCTGCATTTCATGGCCTACTTGATTTTAAATTACTCTGCTTCTTCAGTATAGTTTGACATTTTAAAAATCTTTCTAATTAACATCTGACCTATAAAGGTCTTCTAGGTAGAAGAAATTAGCATAATATCACTGACTTCAGTTTTTATATCACTGAATTTATTTTCAACTTCTTAAGTTTGTGGGTTTTTTTTTAAAAAAAAAAAACAAAACAAACACAACAGGCGGATAAGTTCTCCATGACAAAGATATGCTTTTTCTATACTATTATCTCAATTATAGCTAAATGAATAAAGTAACAACAAACTTACTGTTGAGACTGTTATTCTGTTGGATGTTTTCATTTGTTGCTTGAGTTACAGATGTGGTGGGCTCAGGCAGAGTTAAGAAATTAAACACAGAATACTTGTCTCGTTTCACTTTTGGTAACCCAACAATGGAAGAACTAGAGGGAAATAAAAATGTTTGTTGATTATTGTTTTCCACACGGAAAAGGCCTCAAATTATCTACAACAAACAAACACCTACAGTAGTCCTTAAAATGCATACTATTTTGTCAGAGGTCACCATGTTTAATGAGGCAAATAAAAACATTAGGCAGTTCTGTATTACATCTATTATGACACAAAGAAAACATCAAGCCAGATTTTCCACAAGCATATGAAAAACTTAGAATTTTCAAAAAGTGTTCAATATATCAGTATCAATCATCTTACTCAGGATATGGATCAGGAACATTGAATCTTTTACACAACAGCTTTTCAGGATGCCATTCAAACTTGTCTCTTGTGAGTTTGCCAAACATCTTCATCTTCACAGCAGTTTCCTTATCATCAATATCATTCTGAAAAAGTCAAACATTTATAGCTGCTAAATAAGTAACAACTTCCTGAATTGACTATTACTGTTATAAGACTTAAGAACAGGACAGTAACATAAATATTTAAGTGTAGTTTAACAAATCACTGCTTTGTATACAGTGAGTGTTTTCAAGTGTTTGCTAAACAGAAGGGCAACAAAACATTGACATTGTATCTACAAAAGAGTTTTAAAGAAAAAGAACTTTGAAAGTCAGGGTTAAGGCAGCAACTGCAGCTCCAATGTACTAAAAGACTATAAACAGCGTATACCTCTTGGTCCCGAGGAACTTCGACTTTGTCAACATCATCTTCATATTTGGCCCGGGTAAACCTGGATGACAGTGTTGAATTTGAGGATTTGTAGAACATTGCCGCACGGAAGAACTCCTCCTGTTCTCTTCCTCGCTCCCATTCTGTCATACTTGGGTCTAAATAATGTTCCAATGTATCTACTATAAGATAAGGAGAGAAATGCTTAGCAGAGATTACAGCTTATTTAGGTCTGACGCTTTCCAAACAAAAAATAAGATAATAAGCAAACATCCTTGCAAGTATTTAATGAGTATTTAGTTTAAGGATAGTATTAATCTCAACTGTGTTATTCCTTGATAAGCAGAGGTAGTTTTTCAAGATAGCACGAATGACAGCATTTGCCAAACGTAAGATAGATATTTTAAATAATTTTACTTGTAATGCTGATTCCTTACTTATTGCCCTCTAATGAATGTTCAAAATACTTAATGTATTTAATAGGCGTTTAAAACAAAAAGTATAATCCAAAGCTGTATCAAATAACTAAAACACAGAACACAGAAGTTAACTAGTGAGTAAGCCTGGCCAGGCTTTGGCAACTTCAAGGGGCTTTCTGGTATATAAAGTGCCCACTGAGAAATATAGAATTTGGACACAGGTTTTTGTAAACAATACAGAGCCTGTTTAAAGCAATGGGTTCACATTTGCTCCCAGAAGGAACAGGAAATAACACCAGCGAAGCAGAGACACACTTCACTTCCTTA